CCTCATCCTCGCTTCACGTGAAATGTTCGAGTCTCAATATATCAAGGCAGTAACATTCATTAGAACCGCATATTTTTCCGTCGTACTACTATGACCATGGGCTACCAGTGTGGCAAGTTTGAAGTCAAAATTCAAAAGTCAGATTTTGTTTGAAATCCAAGCTCTATGGGCAAAAACTGAGTAAAACTTCGATATCTCAGCAACAAAGCACCACGGGGATGAACCAACTTAGGGTATTTCACTACTCACTGAGGTCTACAAGATACAAGTAATACGGGTTCAAAAGCGATCTATAACCTAAAGAGATTGCCTCGTAAGCTTATATGTCTAATATGGATAGCAGAATATTGAGTTCAGTTGAATGATTGAAAACCTATGGAACTGATTACCACTGAACAAGTGTTTTTCGGACACTTTTTTAGCGTGGAAAACAGGTTGTTTCTATTCAAGTTTAAATTCATTCAAGGTAAGTTTTTGGATAGAGTAAATGATAGTATTTCAGTGTGTTTTAATTTGTTTAACTTGGCAAGATAATTATCTATCGTTGTTCATAACGTTGTCTAACAAGTTTTCTAGTTTGAATTTTTATATCGTTTCGATAGAAAGAAAACATATTCTGTTAGAGAACGATAGTCAAAATAGTCAACTAAATGATTCTCGAATAAAAACTGAAAATAATCAACTTCTGCATGAATACCCATTGTATAATCGAGAATATAAGAAATATAACACTGCTATGAAAGTCATTTTCAATAAAAAATTTTATTTACTTGTGGGCTTTCGATGCCTTTCTGACATCATCTTCAGGCTAGCTAAAATAACGCCTTTACAAGATTTATAGACGAAAAGACTAAGTTAACTGTTCTTTCTCGCTTGTTCTCGAACAGCGTGTTCATTCTTTTTCCTTTTCTATTCATATGATTTGAAAATAAAGTGTTCGACTAGTGTTAGAACGAACAACAGAAACAGTGAACCTGTGGAAAAAAAATTTAGTTTGATACCAATATATAAGTCAGTCAACTTTTTCTAGAACTCTATGCTCGCTCAAAAGTCGATTCATCGTAAACAAATTACAATTCAACAGCCTAACTCCTTTCTACATAAACAAAAATCAGATCCTTTTACTCTGTGACCATACTGTTTAAGAACGTGTCTTCGTTATAGTTTCATTCAAATATAATACAAGATGAAACGTTCATCGCATATAAAAAACCAGGTAAACACACAGATCATTTTCTTGTTAAAAACAGCAGAACACACACAAGAATGCAACTAGACAAAAAAATGCACTGAATTAATAAAACACAAAAATCTTGTTTTCGTGAAAAAAAGAATGAGAGAGAAAAAAACCATAATAAACATACACACACAAAGAAAAAACAACTGTCAATAGCTGTTTGAAAAACTACATTTGTACAAAAATATTGCACACAGATCGCGCATTTTTACAAATTTCAAGCATAAAATCTGTGTTGTTTAATTTTGATTATAAAAATTGTGTTTACTGTTTGGATGTAAATATCTGAATCATATCCGTTGAATTTCCATTTGTTGCTGAATGTTCAATTGATGCTAATCGACGTTTTTCTTCGATCATTTGTCTTAATCTTGCACTCTTATTATCAGTAGTTGTCGACGTTTTTTTAGCTGGTATTTTTGATTTTATTTTTGCATCTAGATGTACACGTGGACGACAATTTACTAAAATAAACAAAATTTGTTCGTATGTGTTGTTTTCTTTTACTTTCTTCTTTAACTTACCATCATTTGGATCTATTTCTTTTTCAACTTGTATCCAATTTTTTGATCTTCTTTCATTGATATGATCAAATTTTAATTTACATTTATCAATTAATGGGTACGTAATTTCCCAAAATCCTTCTAAATCACTATCCAACGGTATTGGTTCGCCAGGCGTCTTTTTTGTCTAAAAGGAAAAATAATTTCTATCATTCAATAAAAATGTACTAAAAGACAAAATATTTTAATATTTTAGGCTCAGTTAATCATATTGCGTATAATTACAAGGAGAAGATCTATACTATAGTAAAACAAATAGGATAAATACTTTTCTCTAAGGAATAATCGCTTAACTCAGATGAGAGATAGAAGTAAAGTTTGTCTCATATTGCAAAAATCGAACAAAAAAAGAGACCATGTGACAATTCACATGCATAGTCCAATACAAAGTGCCTAATTAAAAGTTTGATTTGACCTTCTTTTTACGATTCATTAGAAAAAACTATCAATGTACTAGCCATTGTAGTTATAGACAATCTAGGATATTCGTAGGGCACACAATAAAATTGAAATTAATATTTTTAAATAGTTAAAAACAAAAAAAGTTTTATCGTATTTTCAGTCTTTTTTCAATTTCTAAAAAATTTACTGACATAGTAGAGTTTTCTGTATTTTTTTAAATGAAAAAATGACGTTTATACATACCAAATTTTGATTACATAAATCACGAAATTGTTTTAATTTTCCACGAAATAATAAATTTGCTTCACCAATGGCCACTAATATATAATTACGATCTAGAAATAACAATTAAAAATAAATAATATTATTAGTCTAGAAAAACAGGAATTATTGTGAAATGAAACTTGCCATCTTCAGGTATTTTGTTCAGACTGTTATCTTCATCAATCACTTTATTATAAATGGATACTTTATCTTTCAACACTTTTTCAGCTTGATCTAATAACGATAATAATGTTCTTCCATCCTAAAAAAGAAGCAAAAAGAAAAATAGAGTCAAGTTTGTTGCCAATAGAGAAGAGAGAAGCTCAATAATTCTTTTAAATATCACAATTTAGATGCAACAATTCAGAACAAAAAATATAAGACAACATAAACATGTAAACATACTCTTGCTTTATTTGCCATGGTCTTAGAATATGACTAAAAATTGTTAAAAATTTTACTTATGTAATGAATGTGTATGAGCTACAATAATCATCTTATTATTTTTTATTTCTGTTCTGAACATAATAAAATACTCTCATTTTTAATAGTCTGTATATGTCGAGTTCGAACATATCGTGTCGGATTTTGTTCACAGACTCTAGATGTTTTCTTTTTCTTCTTTTGTGTTAATGAACATCACGTTATGTGAGGATCATAAAGGAAAAGAAAAATAATACAGACAAAAAAAAAAAAAAAGTCAATCATTAGCCATCTAATAAATAGTGCTTTTTGTATTTAACATATTCGGAGACATATATCCACATACGACAACTAGATGTTCAAACAGAGAAAAAAGACAGATTTAGATCAAATCACGGATATTTTTATCTTCTTTTTATTGATGTGCTTTCGTTGTGTGGGTCATAGTGGAGTTCTATATATAGGTACCATCTCAGTTTCATGATGTGCTTTGTAAGATATTGGGAGCAAACTCGCTTGGTTCTGCAGATGTGTAGTTCTATCTCTCTCTCTCTCATATATAACTCAACATTGAGCACATATTTCCTTTCTTATTCTCCAACTACCATACAGAAATCTAATAAGTGTTTGTATTCAGCTTGAACCGAGTCGATTCGTAGGAAAATCAAAACATTTCAGTCTGTCTCAGTCTCTAAGCTTATTTTTGAGACTGACTTTGCTCGTACTTCAAGACTACGACAAAGACAATTTTTAAAATCAACAATAAAGTTTAAAAAGTTTTATGATGTGAATATGAGCTTTAGTCCGGTATCTGCTACAGTTCATTGGAATTTGTGACATTCTCTGATACGAAAAAGCTCTACTTGCTAAATCGTTATTAATACACATGTTAATAGAAAATTTTAATATTTTCATATAAAAGCTGTTGTCATGTAAACTATTCATTATTCGGCTTTCATTGTTTGACTGATAAAACTAACAAGTTCATGATATAGAAAATAAATTACTAATCCATACTTTCTCTTTGTATTTGAATACTTATGACTCATGTCGATGAAAAAAATTCAGTAGTATATAGTTGACTATTTATTTAATTGACTATTAGTAAACCTTTCAGAAGAAAATTAAGTGTTAACAACATCTTCTAATTCAAACATTATTATCATCTGTACATATGAGTAGTCTCAGTTCAATTTGGATATTTATCGGTACAGCACAACAGAAAGATAAATTTGTGATGTCTGTTTGAGTTCAATATGAACATTGGAAATCTCAGACACGATACTGATAACTTACCATAATTCAGTAAATATTTTAATTTTGAAAATAATGTTGTATGAGAAAGAATAACGATGTTTTACAAAGAAGTTGAATTAGAAATGATATGAAAAATATAAACTACGAATGAATCAACTAGTTATTGTTATTTTTGTACATATTATTTTATTTGTTATCCTACGTATAAAAGAAACGACTGACCGCATTCATATAAAGAAAAAAAATATATATAGAAAAATACAGGAAACAAAAGTAAATATTAGTCACATCACACATGTTCTTTCATCTTTTGTCTACAGACAGTCTAGCGAGAAAGACTCTATGGCGACTATATATTACAACAACATATGAATAAAAAGTCCTCTCTATTTTCTTCTTTATTTTTTCAACTGATATACTTGACTTCATAATAATATAACTAATTCATTCATACAAATTCATTATGTAGACATCACATAAAATAAATAATGCTAATATCAATATTCTTCTAAAATTTTCCTTTAAATAATATTTTCTTTTAGAAATCAAATGACTAACGTGTTTTACATTTATAGATCAAATTCCATTTTGTTAAGTCGGATTATATCAGCCCGATGATATCATCATATCCTTGTATCTTTCATTCTAGAGGAGGCGAAGAAAAGAAGATCTAATTTAATAGTCTTTTCTTTTGCATGGGATTTATAAGAAGATTTTATGTTTTCTGAACTTACGAACAGATTATTTTCATCCCCTATCTGGCCATTTTTTTTTAATCTGTATGTAATGTGACCAATGGAGCGACTACACCAATAAACAGTAAAAGTATTTTCCAGAGATTTTACTTCAAACCAATTTGATACTTTGCGAACTTACATCTATTTTTTACTCAGAGTATATCTCGTTCATGTTCTAAATATTAGATGAATAGAAACGTCCACAGAGAGTTGTATGACATATTAAAAACATTCTCGATAAATTTTTTATTGATATATTATACTATTAAATATGAATATCGAACTGAATCTCAATAGAGTATATTCTACTTTAGTCGAATAAATGTTAGTGCATAGAGAACGACATATTGAACTTCAGTGATTATACCGAATCATTTTTTTCGTGACAATTTATTACTGAGTCATTCTACATAAATTTGAAAACATTATCGGCTACATAAAAGAAACACTTCACCCGAGAGATATAACCTCAAAATTTAAGTCTGACCTTTAGATAATTTTTCACTATTTATTAAAATTTGTTCTACTAATTATTTTACTGTGTATTTCTACTCAATGTAACTTTATTGAGCATTAAAAACTCTATTATTACTTTTTTTGTTATTTAAATAAAATAGTTTAAATCAATCGTTTTTCGTTTAAAACGATTTATTAGAAACTCGCCAAAACATGGTTGTTGAAACGCTATTTATTTCGCAATATATACTGCTTCATTCTTCTTTAGTGTACTTAGGTTGTTGAGTAACGCTGTGCGAAAAAATTTGCAGAATATTTTCTTTCGGATTCTAATGTGCACTAATAGATAAACAATTTTCTTATTAGTGATAAACTGACGTTACTGGCATTCGATACACTACATTTTTCTTTCTAGTAGATCAGATCAGAGTCTAATAAGTCTTTTTCATAGCTAAGACAAAAATAGAAAGGTTAATATTAGTGGCGGTTTATAAAATTTGCTTTCATTGCTGAGGAATCTGCTTAACATTGAATAGCTGATCTATAATTCTGTTCATTTTTGTGTTATTCTATATTACAAACATAGCGTTTTGTAAGTTGACTGTTCTATACCGACCTATTCAGGCAGAACTGACCATTTCTTTCTATTTTATGTCAAAATCTTGTCTTGTAATTCTTAAAGAATCTGACAAGAGAAAATATGTATACATAGTCTAGTTTAGTTTTCTTTCGTATGTTTAAACTAGAAATCGCCAACACAGACGCACTTAAAGATCGACCTCTTGTCTCTGGACAAGAGCCGTGGGATTTAAAAGGATATCTGTAGTATCGACAAAACAAATTGATAATTTTATCATCAAGAAATCTTGCCATTTTGGATAAAAATTTTTTGCAAAAAAATGTGAAAAATCACTAAAAAATTACAAGAACTTAAACCTATTTTATCAAGAGATCTCTAAAGATTTTTTGTTATATCATCCGACAGAAAAGTAGAGTTCATTTAGAGTCGGAGAAAAATGTTGTTTCATATTCAGCACACTCGATAATCCCGAAGATTTTCTGTTTTTGGCGAGAGGTATTGTCAAAAATTCAAGAAAAATTTTGAAATTAATTTACTACAGAAACTTTTTTTCACCATTTTGTTCAAAAAATTTTCCTAAACTTTTGACAATACCTCTCGCCAACAATAGAAAATCTTCGGGGTTATTGAGTGTACTGAATACGAAAAAGCGCTTTTCTCCGACTATATGCATTTGTTTCTTCATGTTGATATGCTGACATGGGAAAAAACAAGAATCTTGCCTGGATATTGACAAGGATATGAATCAATAACTGAACAAGTCCTTTAATCAAAAAAATATTTCTAACATATTTTCAATTACGTTCTCTTTTGTATATAGAGGAAGAATTAAATATATATCTACAAAGGCATTTGTAATAGAATAAATCGTCTCTCGACAAAGGTGTTGGAAATAGAAATATTTTTATATTTTTATAAATTCATAATCTTCTTCATCTATATAAAATAGAAGCTACAGATAAGCGCTTATATCGTTGATCAATCTTGTCAAATCAGTCAAGAATCTTGTGTAAAAAAAATAATAAAAAGAAAATCTTGTTCGAAATAACGCAGACAAGAAACAAGAATTTTGTAAAAAGGTTGATAAGAAAGTCGATGAGAATATGTTAAAGTGCAATATAATGTCGCTATTTTGTTATTTATTGGAAAATGCTCATCCACTAACTCGATATAGAGTATATATAGCATATAAGAGGCACAAACAGAAAAACAAACAAAACAAAAACACGCATAAGTAAAAGTATTTAATTAATTAAAAAAACAACAGAATCAAACAAATAAATGAACATTAAGTTAATATATCTAGATGCATGTGATATCGAAAGGATAATTCATTGATAAATGGGTAATAATAATAATGAACATAATACGTAATCTGACGGTGATGCGAAGGCAAAACAGACAATACTGGTAAATATACTGAAGTCGAATAATACGACATGCGGTATTAGTAAACAGGCTATTGCGTGTGTATATGTGCGTAAGTGTATAGATATGTATAAAGCGAACGAACTATCGTTGATCGTTTGTGCGTATTTATAAGCAAAAAAAGTATATAAAACGCACGGAGATAGTAGAAACCAATTACCGGTTTTTGTCTTTAGTTAAGTCAATCACTTCTCTTACCTTTGTTTTATTGTCATGTTGCGAAATATGATAATTTTCATCAACCTGAGACAAAATAGCGTCTCGAAAGTGTTCATCGACAAAATTTTCTTCACTATTTTGTAGATAATTATTATCTTCATTCTCATAATGGTGTTTACCATTTTGATTTATACTAGGTGGTAGATCTGCTGTTCTTGATTCATCATTTTCAATTAATTCTTTTGTTTTCCTTGTTATTTCATCGACAAATGACCAGAGATTTTCGCATGTTGGTCCAACCATAGCATCTTTATTTTCCCAACCTTCACAGGCGATTACTGCAGAATTAGTCGAAAATTGTTGTTGATCGGTATCGGTTAACGATTGAGAGTGGTATAATGGCGATGACTTGTAAAATCCATCCTCAAAAATTTCACCAGTTCGATCTTTAAATGAGAAAAAAGTATCGATAGTAAGCGTAAGATAGTGTAAAAAACGTTTGGTAACTTACCAACAAGCTCAACAGTAGGTGATTCAATTTGACGATTAAAATTAGAATTAATTTGATCATTATTATTCACATTGGACAATAATTCATTATTATTTGGTACTACAAGTATAAAATAGCTTGAAGAGCAGAAAAAATGAACAAGAGAAAGTTATTTTCTTTTTAAAAAGTAACGGTATCTAACAAAGGCTGTAGCCTATAGAAAAATAACAAAGTGTACTTAAGGCTTTTCGTAAACTGAATATGCCATTTGACAGAAAAATGTTACATAGAGCTTGGAGGCGTCTCATTTTGTTCAGAAATGTTTGTTCTATTATAGTGAATTATTTTCAAAAATTAATTTCTTTCGCTTTACATAAACGAATACACTAGGGTATAACTGAAATACTTATGTTTTTACTTACCTTCATAATGACTACTTGGATCTTCAAAGTCATCATTCTAGAAAAATTCAATGAGAATAATGTTCGAAATCATAATATAGAGAGTATTCTAATTACCATATTTAATTTCATCGTTGATGAGATTGCTCTTTCTGTCATTTCTATCAGACTTCTATTCATTATATTTTCGTTATCATTATCTTGTTGAGTTTCTATTGAAAAATCTCGTGCTACAGTTAGAGCACGTTCAACCGCTTCAGCTAGATTTTTATCAATATCATCTACATTGTTGTCATAGTTTTCTTGATGATGGTTTGTCTCAGTAATATTTAAATTTTGAAAATTTAACATTAATTCATCATAATTAGATGATGTAGGAGATGATACGACCGGTGATGGTGATTGTTGTTTATCAGAATCATTTGATCGATTATTATTAACATATGATGTTACTTTAACTGTTGGTTGATTTACTATTGGTAAATTCTTGTCTGATGACTCTGTTCCAATATGACATGTAACTTTAATTTTATTTGAAGCTGTGGGACTATTGTTTTCCTCCGAATCTGACATAATATTATTAATTATTTCAGCTACTTCTCGAATAACATTATTCTTATTATTCTCTTCTACTGATTGATCAAAATCAGGTTCAACTATTTTAAGTTCATTTAATATTTCGTCTGATTTTTCATCTTCGAACGCAAGACGATAAACATCATGTTGTGAATTACTTTTCAACGGGATATTCAATAGAGTCACATTCTCAACATCATCGTCTAGGTCTAAACAGGCGTTCTCATTTTTATATATAGTATCGACATTTGATTCAACAGAATGAAGAGTTTCGATTGGTAATTGATAATGATCAATTGTTTCAGATTCTTTCTGTTCATAGTCTAAAAAGTAAAATAAAGTATGAGTATAAACGAAGTCTCAACTATTTGCTCCCTCTTCTATAACGCCTTGTGCCGTACAACAGATTCTTCATACCTTTGTTAACTTGTGTAATTGTAGTTGGTAACATATTTTGTTGTTCTTGTATGTTTTTAACACTATCGATACTTCTACTCAATGGTCTTATTCTTGTGAACATTGTTTTTCTTAGTGAGTCTCTATTTCCAAAATCATATTTGATTGTGCCAACGTCATGATAATGATGAAATTTAAATAGATCATGATCTTTATTTTGTTGTGAAAATGGATTTTGAAATCCGTATCCACTTAGCATACAATTCAATTTAATGTTCGATTGTTTTCTAGCCACTGATAATGGATCTGTGTCGGTTAAAATTAATTTTGTATATTGTGGATGAAAGGAATTGTCAATTGTCATTGTACTTCTCATACTTCCATTCATAGATATTGTTGATAGCGAACGATTAACAACAAGAGAATCAGTATCATTGAGTATTTTTGAATTTTGTTTATTTATTTTATCTAATGGTTCTGAGATATCAGATAGCAGACTAGAAGGATTAAATATTGTATCGAGATCATTCATTGGTGGTTCTTGACCTAATATTTCTTTTAATCGCTGAGCTGGACTTAATTTATCTACATCATCTTTTCTAGGTGAAGCATATGGATGATCATTGATAGCAATTGATGTAGTCGCGATGCGTTTAGCATTTGCTGATATACCATATCGTGCACGAATTTCGTCATATCGAGCATTTATATTTTCGATAACTTCACTTGTTGATGCCTGTTTATGATTATTATCAACATGACCTTTTTCTATTGTGCCTTCTCTTGAACCATCGATCGATTTCGTTGTCGTTGAACAAGAGGATTTTGCTGATGGTGAAACACCTAAATAGAAATATTGAAGTTAGATATCTTGTTCTATATTTGTGTCATCTACATACTTTTTCGCTTATCTTTATCTTTTTTCTCTTTATTATGATTGTTTTCCGATGATTGTTTTCCTGTTGTTATTTGGACTATACGATTGGCAAATCTTCTCATTGGTGATGGATCTCTTATTCTTGAACGTTCTCTTGTTTTGTGTTGTGGTTTTTCATTACCATTATTGTTAGGTGGATCATCTGCTGTTGGTAGTGATGGTTTTTTCTTTTTCCCTGTTCCTGTTGTTGCGTAACTAGATGTACACTTTGATTTTGGTAATGACGACGATTTTTGCTTAATTTCATTAATTAACAGACGTTGCTGCTGCTGTTGTTGTTTTGAACGATCTGTAGTGTTATTATTATCTTCTTTTGTTGGTGCAACGTGATCAGTGTAATCAAAATCATTGCCATCGTGTTGTTGTTGATGAGGTAAATGTTGTATTGTATATTTAACACTTTCACGACTTTTTGTACGAAAACGTCTTAGAACAGCTGGTGAATTTAGTTTTGACCGCAATACATTCATTAATGAACGAGATTTTTTCAGTGACGAGGTTCCGCTTCCAAGATGATCATCAATACCATTTCCATTTACTTTTTGATCTTTATCATTTGTGGTTGTGCGGCTTATGGTAGATGCTTTGCGCCATAATGAAGGATGATGCTGGGACGTAAAAGGAGCAGAACCATTTACTTTACCGTTACCGTTTGTTTTTGAATATGAATGACCATTTGATAATTCATCAAAATTAGACGGATCATAAACAACGTTGCTGATTGTGGCACGACCACCTAATGTTGTCCATTTTCTGGGCCATCGAGGACGCGGTGTTGAATCGTTTGCTATTTGAACACTAGCAGAAACTCCAGTATCCAGCATACTATAGTTTTAAAGAGAGAATTCGATAAAAAAGACTAGTCGAATAGAACAATTAATTGACTCTAGTAGAATGCATAAGGGTTAAAATAAGTAAATAATAATGATTAACAACAACTAAGTAATGATGTCAATGTACCTACGCTAAATGTTCTTGATGCTGTACAATACTATGTTGATCGATTGCACATTACTAAAATTATTTAAAATGCTTATAATAATAATAATAATAATAATATTAATAATAATATTAATAATAATAATAATAATAAAACACTTTAATCTGGAAAAGAGCAGAAAACTCAATGAGACTTAGTGCTAAAAAGAGAAGAAAACAAAAATTGAGTAAACATCATAAAAACAAGAGATGGCTGGTTGTGATTTCTAGCGTATTGATATTATTCATTCGAATAGTTGTTCGATTTATGTGTACATAAATAATATATTATTATACGTGATCGTGAAGGAAACCGATTTTTTTTGGGTTAGTCAATCATGAATGGAAAATTGGAGTGAAGATAAAAGAAAATATGACGAAGAAGCTAAAGTGGAATATCTATTTGTTACATGTGTACGTATGTATTATATCTTCTTTCATTCCTAAAAGGATCATATTGAATGATAACGAAAAAAAAAGAGAAATAACATTATATCTAACTGATAAATAATATTGAGACTACGTGTACATAAAAGATTGATACCCTCAAACATAGAGAAATACACAATTATGTATATGCTTATATGAAATCTAGTTTAAATACAGCATTATATTTACAAATTGACCTACATTGATTGAGGGATTATTTAGTTGTTATATGTTACAAAAATTCATGGCTCTCTGTATACCGTACATACTAACACAAAAGAACGATGTACAAACTACTTAAATAATGAAATATTTTTTATCATCTTTTATTTTTTGTTCAAGAATGTTATCTTAAAAGTTTGTTTTTGACTAACCCTTTACATAAATTCTCTATTCGTTCTACATCGTTAAAATCTAACTATAAATTCATTTTGTGGATGAGAACAAGTGATTTGGTGTTGATAATACATAGATTGAATGTTAGAGACCCAATAAATACTTATAAAGTCTCTGTTGCTATAATCGAGCGCAAAGATCAATGTCTGTATGAAAAAGTGATCGAAGGAAGTCTTATTAATTAATCATGAATAATAATAATAATAATAATAATGTGAATATATTGAGAGCCGGATTTATAACGTTTTGAACAGGTAAAGAAAAACTACAAAAGCAAAATCTTACGTAATTGTATTAAATTTATTGTATGTTTCTCTCTGTGTGTGTGTGTGTCTATTCAATCACTAATAATGGTTCTGAAATACAAGGTACTATTCACAGAGAAAAAGAACTGTACCTGCTTTTTTTCTTTTGTTCATTAAGATCGTTTCATTTTTGTTATTCATTGTAAAGTTCATCTACACAAAGAAAGAGAAGATGAAAGAATTTTTCTTTTTTTATAGAAATATCTAACAATCAATTGTTGATTGTTTCATGAGAGAGCAGATAACAGGTAGCACACAGATATAAAATTCAAAAAAAAAATTTTTTGCTTTTAATAGTATCCAGATTTTGAAATTTACTGACGTATTTTATCAGCCCCTACTAAAATTAGAAAATCCTAGTAGGATTCTAGATAATGAAATACCATGAAATTGGAAATCGTGTTGGATTTAAATAAGGTCCAATATGAATCCTGTCATATCGTGTACAGATTTTCCTACAAAATCCTACACCATTTCCGATTCTAAGCTGTTCCTATGTTATCCTACATAATCCTAATTGAATCCTATTATAGGATTCTTTGATCTGGATAGCCATTTTATTCTTTTCATTGAGCAAGTTCACAATCATGATGCAAAATGATGAGATGTTGCATGGTGGGCTAAGTTTACGATCCCCATCTGTCGAAATTTTGTTTGTTAACTCACCATCGTGTTTACATATCTTCATATATCTTTTTCCTGCTATATTCTAGAGTCTGGCTCACTACTGAAAATGATCCCCGCAGGTAACCAGCGGTCAAGTTTGTGTTAAAGGTATCCGGGTGACGATAAATGTAAAAAAAATTGAGGAAAAATATGAGACAAAGTGCAAGACACCAAAGCAAACAAAAGAAAAATCGTCCCACTCACAAAAGTATGAGTGGGACAATTTTTTCTTCTTCATTTTCTATATAACAAATGATATGTGCGTATTGTTTTGATTTTATCTAGAAACAACGCACCCTCCCATTTTACGTTTTTTCTCATCTATCGCCAATTTTACGTATTAAATAAGGGAAATAATAGCAATTTTTTAAAATCAAAAGTTATTTTGTCTATTAATTAGGAGAATAAAGAAACCAAAACTTACATTTAATTTTCTCGTTCTTGAACACACACGTACACACAGTAGTACTATCGTGTTTTGTTCTTTTCCGCTCTTTGTAATTGTACAATAGCTACGTATGTCCATTTTCTCTCTCTCTCTCTTATTTTCGATTTGGACGTATGAATCGGTCAAAGAAAAATGTTTACTTCTTTTCTTTTTTCTTTTGGCAAAAATCCATTTCTTTTCTCCCTCTCAGCTGGTCTGAAAATAGCTTCCGCATCTATCTAGTGAAGCACGTATGGTCGTAAATTGTTCCAATATACTCTTGCGTTTCTTAAATGAATGTATATTTATATCTATCTCAATACATTCTTATGAATAAAATAAAGTTGAAAACATATAAAAATAATATATATCGCATCGTATTATTATAACTTCTCTGTATTCTTCCTGTTCCCTTTTTTTCTCCTTTATCCTCTGCGGTTATCCACAGAGAGAGGCCTATATGACCCCGTATGTCGTACAATCTCCTTATCTTATCTTTATGTGTATACCTTAATAAAAAATTATCCTTATCAACTGTCTATGATATGTATATTATACGGGGAATAGAAACATTAATAATCCCATTAAAATATTTGTCATTATTATTTTCTGAAAAAAATAGTAAAATTCATACATTGATGAGCCGCCAGCGGGGCAATTAGGGGTAATTGTCCCTTCTAGTACAAAATACCAAGGGCAATAAGACGTTATTGCCATGTGAAGTAGTACATTACACAGCAGTGTATTTTCTTAAAATTTAAAATAAAAAACAACAATGTTTAACTGTATCACTCTTAAAAATCTATTGATGCTCCGTAGAAAAAGTTTCCCGGTTCGCCCCGCCCATGAATTCATAGACACGAGATCAGTAATAATACATAGATAAATTATTTAATTCATATTAATTGAATCATGAATGACATCGATAGTAATCATAGATTTAATTAGATCAAACATGTTGATTTGTTCACTGCCATCTTAATCCAAAAAATATTTCTTAGATAAATTATAAAAATTCATATGAGAAATAGTATTCCATAACAACATTCTTACCAATGAAAATAAAGTTTTTTCGTCCTGTTATATCATAATACCATTTCTTATTAACCTTCTACATCGGTGAGATTTCGTGTATCACTGTTCTTCAAAATATTTTGAAGACAAGAATGAGACAGTGAAAAAAAGTTCCTTTTCTTTGAATATCTTTTCTTTTTCTACTTGAAAAGATCTTTTACAGATAAGAACTCAGTATGTGGTATTCATTCTGAAATATCAGTGAATAAATAAACAAAAAGACTTAACAGCCCATTCTAAAAGAAAATTTCTAGATTGTACAAAGAAACTCAATTGTGAGATAATAAACATGTTTTAATTAAACAAAAGAATATACATAATAATTAATTGTTAAAAATTTCTATTGAAAACAGAAATTAAATCGCATGGGTATTTTGGTACTATGCCATTTCCGATGAGAAGAAAAACTATAATTTCGTCTAGTACAAAATAAGAAGTAAAATAAAAAAAAACGAGAAATCCTACTGTGAAATAGAACAGCTGAATGAACTTCGCTATTTTTTCGCACACATAATGCCATATACATATTCTATATATCTCGTATGTTGTAACGATTAAGAAGATTAACAAATGCTTGTTAAGGACGGTAAAAATGGATCTATTAATAGTTTATATAATATTGTTATCAAATGAGAAAGAATATATAGAGTTAAATATGCCGTGTTAGCTATAGTCTGATTAGTGAAAATCGTATAAATTGTATCTCAATCATTTGAGAAATTGACTATTTTTAACCATTGATTAGAGCAATTCAAATACCAGAACTGAAACATTTTTTTTACTAGTAATGTTTGTCTGAATTATTTATTTTTTTAAAAATAAATGGTGGTGGATGGTTCTCTTACTTATTTTGCTATTTAACAATGGATCAAATGACACAGAATCTGATTACAATCGTCTCGAACAAAAATAAATACATGCCCCACCCTTCCCTTATATATTTCGCAGTTTACTATAAAAAGTTCGTGTGTTTTAGTCTCTAGGACTATGCAGAGCACATTTTGTATTTTACGTTTTAGAATATTATAATGGAATTTATCTCGCTTGTATTCTGTAAGAATAATGTTTGAATCACATTTTCATACAAATAAAACTTTTCTGCAGATTCCCAACGGATTTTATTAAATCATGCCTTTCTCTTTTTACAGTTATGAATACGAACAAAGAAGAAAAAATATGATGTTATAATAATAAAGTGCTTTCTAGTTGAATTCAGATGTATTGTATTTAATAAAACGAAAAATATTTTTTATTGTTTTACTATGAAGTCAAAACTTGTGATTGACATCTGAAAGATATTGTTAAAGAAGCGTGTTTAATCAGACCAACTGGTAATTCATTTTTCAGAAGTTTATTCTTATTAATTATTGTATTCTCACCTGTATGTTGTTACTATTATGTGAACTTTTATTTTTAAAAAAACTAAAAAAATGTAAAAAAAAACTAAGATTTGTATATTGATTTTATATGTTTATCGTCGACCTCCACGAACTACACGCACATACATACATACAAATATTGATTGTACTGTTGTTCCATAGCGTGTATTCAAGGAGAGAGAGAGCTATTAAAACTATTATAGTTGATATAAAAATACCGGAGCAAGGCCAATGATTATTACTTACATATTTAGTAGTTAGTATATCATCAATTATTCACAGAGACAAATCGAACCAAATAGAGAATAGCTATCAGATGTGTTAAATATGTATGAAGAAATATTCATATATATATGTAGATGTATTATGTCATCTATGATGTCTGTTTAATGAATCGTTACAGAAAGAGTCAATCCTTGACAATGTGTTGAAAACTTCTTCTCAATTACTTTAAATATTTCATTTTTTTTCCATCATTTTAACTGATCATGCACACGTATTCTATTGCTAACAGCATATTTATGAAGAAAACTAGGATAAAATACAGATCAGATAATAGAGAAAAGTTTCTACCTTCTATTAGAAAAAATAGAGATTAATTCATGTTGAAAAACTGAGAATATGATATAATAGAAGAGTTCATAGATAGTATGAATATGTGATTTTTAGAGCTTACTATGACACTTTAAAGTCAAGTCATACGGATGATATAATCAATATCTTCTCACCTAACACATCAATCAAATCATTAACTACCGTGGTTAGAAAACAAAGAAAAATTTTGCTCAGTTACTGATCACTCTTTTGAACATTATGTGTAAACTATTGAAAAAACACAAAACTACACACATCGATAAAAAATTTCGTTGGTGTCAAGGCCAAAAATTGGATAACTCAAAGAATATGACCTCATGAGATCTTTTCCCTGTAGGATATATTTTGATCACAATAAAAGTTTATCAACTTGTATTTATGGGAAAGATTACATTCAATGATAATAGCAGTACTACAAGAATGAGAAACGATCATTGGTCTACCTTTAGGTCATCCATATATCCAAACTCTTACTTTGCTTCTTCTTTTGCTCCAAATAATAATTATTTTATCAACTAAAAATGTGTAGCCTGTATCTCGGTCATCGTATATCAGCACAGAAAAACAAAACCTTTGGAAAAAAAAGAAGATGAGAATTGTTAGACAGTCATATATATTCTAGTCTATCTATTTTCATTGATTTGTCTGTATGATATACGAAAAAGCCTAGCCAAATTCATCATCTATTTATTGATGTTGAACAATTTCTTATTTCTGATGGTTAAATTAAAACAATATGTGGATGGATATACAGTTTAAATAGAAACAAGACTGTTGCAATGTTTTAACGGATATCTCTGTGTCTGATGAGAGATGAAGAAGACAAGAGCAACGAAAATATATGATTTATGATAATAACGATGATCGGTATAAGACATATTGAACTAATTTCTTAACGATGCAAACTGCACATGTTACTAACGAAAATGATAATAATAAAATAGTATATATCGATTTTACAAGTGTCATTGAAATTTCATGAAATACTTTGATCTCTGATGATAAATAAAGCTTTAGATTTAAAAATAATTTTTCATAGTAAAAATGGCATTCTTCTACTCAGGATTCAACCACTTTCTGGTTATTGTCACAAATGTTCTCCTATCAATCTAATTTTAACTTGAAAAAAGCAAAATATTAGTAGATCTATTTTGCACAAGAATCCAGTAGAAAAGCTGACTTAATTAAAACAAAAATCTATAAAAGAAAACATTGATATAAATTATATACTTGCTCTGCCATCTTCATATTGTATTACAATCTGTCATATTTATTCTATTATTAATGTTATTCTTCTTCACTTTATTAATTCTAGCTGATACCAAATCTTGTTCGATTATTTCCATCATGGCATGGTGGGTTATATATGGTTGATTGAGAACTTTTATCGTTGTCACACACACACACATTGCATCGATCAAAATCTCTAAAATTTCGAATAATTTAGTGCTCTTTGTTTTTTCATCTGGTTGCATATGGCACTTCAATCTAAACTAAAACTCTCCTTCTTGATTGAATGATCACCGATGTAGAGTAGAACTCTAAAACTTTTCATGATTATTCGAATGATAATTTTTTATTACTATCGAAATTTATTTATTTTAAACTACGCTCTGTTAGAATTTATCTACGTGTTAACCTTTACAAACATTGTCTTCTCTCATGATTTTAACAGAAAAACAAAATCGAAAACATTTACGACAAATGAATTATTGATTTTTCTTTGTTTATCTCAGTTATATTTTGTATGCATTAACTTAGTAGGTGTCACCTTTAGAAGAGGAATATACAGATCATTCTTTATTTACATGAGGAAAAACTTCACTCATAAGTAAGTTTTTGCAAACATTTGTGGTAGTGCTTTTATAAATAACAAACTTCTGTTAAGGATGTGTTTGTGAACTGTTACATGGTAAAACCCATGCGTTTCAATGAATATATTTCTTTTAAATTTGATACTCTTCAACGGCCTTTTAGCACTATAAATCATCTCTAGAATATTCACAATCAAAAGATTCAACCAAAATCTCTCAATCTTCTCTAAAAATTTGTCGTCTCGTGAATGTAAATTTACAATTAAACCAGACATAAAAAACATATTGCTATTGGATATCCTTTTTTTGTCTGAGTGAACAGTTCTCTATTTTCTAACATTTAGTCTGTTCTATTCGTATTTCTTACGATTAGAAGAATATAGTGTTGAAAATTTCAATGAACATTAGTCTTGGCTACAAACACACGGGTTTATGCTGTCGAGCTGCAGCTCTTAGTGAGAAACTTACTCAAATCTTGCTTAGACCTTAGAATAATCTTATTCAGATCTCATTTCCATCATATTCCAGCACTGAACTTGTTTATATAATTCTTCTTTATTCAAAAAATCATTTATTCACCGTGGTACCAAGAAAAATCCTTGTCATTTTTAAAGCAATTAGTCATTCTTGACGTATTTACACCACGATAACTATACCCTTATCAATCTCAAAATTGAGAATATTCAAAAAATTCAATTTAACTTGGTATCAATAAGACTTACAGTCTTTTACTACTGTAGTAGTACAAAAATTATTTACACACGTAAAACTCTTAACTTACTATGCAATTCATCAGTCAAATGCTACACTAACCATTTCGGAACATTTGGAACAGTTGTTATTGTTGAAGTGTTCTAGAGAAATTCTGTCAGCAGACACTTCACTACTACATGTTCCTTTACTTCATACTATTGAAACAAAAACATTAGAGTCCATTATATAAATAATACACGGAACAAATTGTTATGACGTAAGTATACGTGACATAAATAACACATTATTACACCGCTGTACTTGCTATAGAATCGCATTATAAAAACTGACATGAAAGAACTACAATAATTGAAAATTTTACTATATGTAAATGACAGCATCACGAAGTGTACATGATACAATGATTCAATTCAAATTTGATGAAATAGATCAAAAATAAAGTAGGGATCATTCATAGTGGAAAATACATAATGTGTTTTTTTTGAATGTTACTGGTACTATTGCAGATGAGATCAATATACAGTGATCATTATAGATTTATTGCTGAATCGCATTATCATGTATACGACTATCAGAAAAGCCTAAAAATAAAAATGAATACTAAAGAGAATGACATGTAACTGCTTTGACCGATAAAGAATTGTACTATCATCAATATTACATTTTTATTGTAGAATTAGTGTTTTCTTATCACTATTAGTTAATTAAGTGATTAATAAACGTATATGGTTAATACAAAATACATTAATAGTTGTTCATGCGAGAACAAAATGTATCTTATCTTTTGTATTGTAGTCGCTTCCTTAATCCGTAACTGCAGTTCACTCTAAAGTACAGAGTTTGTAAAAGTACTATTACTTGATTTTCTAAATTTCAAGAATCTATCTACCATTACTCCGCCATCTTCTACACTTCAGGAGAATCTAGAGTTTTGCTTGTCTTATACTGACAAGAATTAAGCATTCAATGAAAGATTCTTAATGATATGCCCTTTTAGCAGCAGTTTGATGGAATAACGAGCCAATGCGTCAAGTAACATTAGTATTCAAATATTTATCTTTACGTACAGACAATACAAACACAGTTCACAGACATCAAATGGCTACTTCTTATACGCACAGAAAAGCGCATGAAAGGTATCTGTTTTATTGTCTTGCTACTATCTGAAATCTCCAAAAGAAATTGATGTATAAACAGAAGAACAAAAAAATGTTCGTTTCTTGGAGTAGATCATTTAAAGATGTTCGTTAATTATGAAAGATTCTTTTACATTTTAATTTATTTATTTTTGGCACTGTTATACGTATTTCATTATCATCTTTCGCATGACCATTTTGAAGGTGATAATCCTCTACTGGTATACTTGAAAGGTCTTCAGTGGACGATATTTTCATATTTTTAAATGATTTATTGAAGATGCTTGTTTCCTGTTGCGATTCGCTATCTTTCGGTGGTAGTGTTTCAGTTGGTGATGATGAATCATGCGTGGTGCCAGTCGATTCCATGTCCAAAATTTCCTCAATCCGTGAATCAAGACTACCTTGTCGACTAATAACAGGCAGACTTTGAATATGAGTAACTGGAGTAGATAATGTAGATTGCATTGCTTGATCAACACTCATTTGTTTTTGATTTCCATATATTATCCTAGCTCGACGTCTCGTTGTCACAGGGAATGGTGAATGTGTTAATGCTCGTTGACTCAATTCATGGGTCATTTGAAATACATCATTCGAATCCAATGGCAACATGGCTGCAAAACTCCCATTGATTAAACACGGTGAATGTGGAGTATTGAACAAGACAAGACTCATACGGAAATCATCATTCAGTGTGCGCATCTTTCGACGTCTAGTTCGAGGTGAGACGTTTAATAGTGGAGCTAATATTTTTGTAGCAGCTGTTTTCTAAAGAATTTGGATAAATATCTGTCGTATATAAAATAACAAAATAGTGTTAATAATTCAACTTACAATAATACGCCAATCACGTTCAATATCACTCGAAGTTGTATCAGCCGATGTTACAGTGAAGCGAATAATGTATTTTCCTTTTATACTAGCTGGTACACAATGTATTTGCCCACCACTATTTATTTCCTTTAACAATTGTTCCGTCAATTCATTATCACCCTTATTGGAAAGAAATTGATAATAAATTTACTTCATAATTTTACAACGTGCTACATACTTTTAAACGAAATACAACTAAACCCAAATGTCTTTCAGCTGGTATTTCAAATCGTTCATCTGATTTTACATAGGATTCAAATAGACGACCCATATTCACACCCTAAAAGAGAAGAGACAATCTCTTAAATAACTCGCTATCAAATACTGATTTTATTTACATGCCGAACATGTTCTTGAAGTCCATTAATACCATATGATCGAATTGCAAACCATAATTTGAGTGAACGAAAACGCCGGCTCAGTGGTACTTGCCAATGCTGAAATAAAGTCAGGTTATCTTCTGATCGTTAGTATTTATACGAAGATTAATATACCATGTAATCAATAGCAACACCTAAAAATGTATATTAGCATAAATAAAAGAAGTTTATTTAACAGAACACATATTAGTACCTGCATTTTCATGTTGTAGATAGAGTGGATCCACGTTGAATGCACGATGTAGTGATGCACTTGTTTTAACCCTGAGTATATGATACGCTAACAAAATGTATGAAAAGATAAATCAAAAAGATAGAGACTAACCACATTGCTGTGCAGTCAAAATGAACCAACATCCATTTCGATGGATTGAATGCAAATGAGCTTGTATATTGAACACCATCCATAAAATGGCGAAATTCTGGACACAAAAAAGCTGTTCCTGCATAAGCAGCATCGACGTGTATCCATATATGTTCTCTGTCACCTGTATAAAAAGCTCAATGATGATTTACACTGCAATAGTGTTTTGTAGTCTACTTACAGATTGGACCGAGTTCAACGAGATTATCAAATGCACAAGCACCAGTAGTTCCTAATGTAGCACACAGCTAAAAATTGAAAACTTTTTTGAATCCTGCATTTGTCCAGATGTTGTTGTCTACTTCACATGTTTACAAAATTATATAAGCTCAAAAAAATGCGAAAACTGATCCCGGTACACATTTAATTGGCTTTAAGAATTGAGAACTGAGCTCGCTGGTAATTAAACTTTTATGAATTAGTATATTATATTATTATTATATTCCCATTGTATGATAATTATATATACATGCTAAAGAAAAGTATTGTAACTTTTTAACTCTGGATCATCTTCCTTCTCTCTATTATATCTGTTCTTGAAATGAGAAATTATTTGAAACGTCGAATAAATTGAACACAGAGGAACTTTAGACTCTACGTGTACCGTCTCGATTTACTCAGAAAATATCTGAATGTTATGAGTGCGTTCTCAATGTCTAATCTTCGAATTATTCTCCAACGCCTGAATGCAACCTTGAAATTTATGTAACGTAATCTAAATACGTCAAATCATCGAAAGAGGATGATAATTGATTATTGTGATCAGTTAACTAATGGTTCTGAACTCAAATATCTTATATCTACGGGAAAATAAAATTTAATCGCAACAAAGGTCATTTATCACATTTTTCTGAGCTCATTTTTCATTTTATCCAACAACTCACATAAAACGGAATAAGACCATTTTCTTTATCTTTTGCAATAGCTTGTCTCAACCCACTACCACGCAAAGATAATTTTTCATCTGATGGTACAAGATTTAATTTTACAAGACCAATCAAACAAGCTTTCTCGACCGACGAATGTGCCTAAAGTAAATAGTATCTAAAAAGCGAGAGAGCATAGACGATGAATTTTCTATTTACCTGATCTGAACAATAAGCTACTAGTCGTCCATTGATTTCAGATGGACTCAAATAAGGAAATTGAGATTGTACTCGACGAATAGCTTCTTTTCTAGCAGCTAGCAACGCGACCAATGTTGCATCACTTGCAGTAGTCTAAAACAGTTTACATCTAATACGTAGTTATAAAAAATTTGACTATTATTTACTTGAATAACACCGCCGCCTGTTGTATCAGCATGAGAATGTAAAAAGTCATTTGGCAAGTCGATCATTTTAGCCAACCAGTCCATAACGATCGTTTCGAGTTCTGTACATGCGGGACTTGAAGCCTGAAACAGACTCACAACTAATCTTTATGTAATATACTTAGGTACTCTCTTGTTCATACCCATGTGAAACCAAGTTGACCTAACCCGTTAGCTAACATATCCTTTCAAATATGAAATAAACATGAGCATTATCAATAAAAAATAAATAAGTTTTAAATACGTACACCAAGTAATGACGGATAAGAATTTAGTGCTGGAAAATAGGCATGCATGTGGGGACTTTGCCAATGTGTAATCTACATTAGAGAACTTTCTATAGAATTGTTTACAGATTACAAAATTATTGTTAAAACAATGAGTATTACTTACACCAGGCATAATGACTCTTTCTATATCTTCAAATATGATTTCCCACTTTTCACCTTGCGTTGGAGCATCCTCAGCTATTAATTGTCTCATATAGCCAGGCTTCACATTTGGATAAACTCGTCTATCTCGAATATTAGACAGATAATCAGCAATAAAATCAACCATTTCTTTGCCTAAAATTGATCGTTACATTTGTTGATCTTAAACTCGGCAATTAATGAAGCAGTTGAGTTTCGAAACAAACAACGTTACGTAAGGAAGCTTGCGCTTGGAATAATGAACACGAGAAATGTTGCGCATAGATAAATCTTACGTACTACTGTAGAGTGTTATGCACGAAGAGGAGAAATTGTAGGGGAAATTTTTGGAAAATGAACTCAGGACACTATTGAAATATCCTTTAACCCTCTGGATTACCAGCGACGCTTTTTCTAATTCTTGATTTCTCAATAAAAACAATGAGTTTTACATCAATGAGTTTTGTACACAAAGAAAATTAATCACAATATAATCAGTAGGCGATAAAAGTTTTGCCCGCAAACAAACTCGTTCATCTCATACATAACAAGAACACAAGGTAAAGTGATAACCATTATTATATGTAGTAATCACTGGCAATTCATTAATCATATTCAGTTGGCTATTTCTTATCGTTTTTTTTTCAGATTAATTAAATAATAAAAACAAGTGAAAAATGGAAGGTATTCTTATTTCATCAACAGTAATTTATTGCTCGATTCATTGAAAATCTGTTTTAACTTGATTCGTCAACACGATTTTTGTTTTGTTGACAGCCTTTTATACCATTCTAATGTAATATATACCTTAACCGTATAACGGCACCCTTTTTTTTCTTTTTCAAAAGAACATGATAATCAAACTAAAAGCTTTTGACAAACTGCTAATAGTTCGTGGACTACATTAAACATTTCTCAACCAAATGGGATGTTTTTCAACTCCGGATGATGTGCTCATGGTGAGATACGAAGTTTTTAAATATAGCCCCAAAATTTGATTGCCATCTGAAAAGTGACTATTAAATGATTAAAAAAAACGAACATGCAAAAATCTTAAACTCATACCAGTTTGTAGAGAAACATTCATTCTACAACACAGAATATTTTTTGAATGTCGCTATCACATCGATAAAACGATATGTTTTTTACAATAACGAAAACAAACTGCAACGTACTAACAAAAATAGTCGAAAATGTGCACTTAGTTTTATTACTTAATTAATCTGAATAAAAACGACAAGAAATAGCCAAGTTGAATATGAATAATGAATTGTCAGTGAGTACTATATATAATAACGGTTATCACTAAATGTTTATTACTGAATATTCAAATTCACATAAAATGTAATATAAAAAGATATGTTTTTCTAAAGTTTTTACTTTTTCAATAAATTAGGATTCCTAACAGCGTAACAGAATTCGACAGAATAATGTATCAAAAAAGTTCGATCCTTTTTCTCTAACATAAAAATGCTGTAAAGATTCAAAAGGTATGTACTAGAATCAGAATTTTACGCTCATTCCGAATGTGTATTCAAAACTTTTGTAGTACACTTTGTTTTGGAACACTACAGATACAGTATTGAAACTTTCAAAAATTTTTCACGATCGAAAAGAAAATTTTGTTTTTCATCGACTAATAGGTTTATGCAGTGCAGTGCTCTGGATATTTCATAGGATTATAGTGCAAAAATTTTCTCACAAAACTGTGTATAGAAATATTATAATAGATGTAAGAACAAAAAGTAAAAAGTATTTTATTAAATCCTATTTTCCACATAAATCGTGAAATGAGGAAAAAGCCGAACTTATTCGAACAACACCTTTTTTTGTAACACAATCTATTTGAGATTTATTTTATCTAAAAAATCTAAAAAACATATGGATTTTATAGCCAAAATCTCTTCTACAAGCTGATAGACAAAGACGTTTATTTACATTGAATCTCAGATATTTATGAGAAAAACATCTGAATTTTTATTTTCATCTAAATAAATTTTTGAGACTTTCCTTCCACATTGTGGGTGCAGTGTTTTATAACAAAATACTACAGAAGTTCTGAAAACATATTCCGAATAAGCGTAAAATTCTGATCCTAGCGCATACCTATGAAATCTTTTAGAACGTTTTTATGTTACTTTGGTATTGAAAGAGTTTAATGAGAAGTCAAAAATAATAGTTATTCAACAAAAAAAATGTTTTATTTAGCAGAAGTATGATGAGGTAGATTATGAATTGATCAATTATATCTGTTTAAGAATTTAAAACTGAGTGAATAATAAGTGTTTAACTATCCAAAATTCCAAAAATTCCAACCAAATACCCAGGTCAAACTAATTAGAGAAATCATCTACATACCATATTTCCGAAATTCATCAGCATTCATTTCAATGGTAAACGCTTATTTATGGTGCAAATGAAATAATCAATAGAATATGAATTCGGAAATAAAATATTTTTCCGAAACGCCTCTACACGTTCTCTTCCTTTCTCTTGTTTTTTCTTTGTTTTTAATCTTCTTTTTTTTTCGTAAACTGATCTTTCTCATTCAATTATAGTTTCTTTATCTCATAGATCTATTTTTGAAATCAAACTTTTTGTGCACAATAAAAGAAAAACGAGAAGAGGTTGAAAATCACGCTAGGTCATACATACGTGCTCTAATATGATTATAATTTAAATTTTTTTTTTTTTTGTTCATCATTGAATTTATTTTGTTTTTCAACGTAAATATACTCTAACAGGACATAATACTAATTATCTGACTTTGAATAAAAAAGTTATATAAAGATATAGAAGTAGGGATAAAAAAAATATTTTTATTTTCCATAGAAATTTATTTCTATCGAAATTATCAGGAGGGGGAAATGCTATTAATCAAAAAGGGAAAGACACGTAGATTTTAAGAAGAGATCAGTTTATCCACTAAATGCACACGCACAATGTTATATTAACGGAATTGTTGTATAATGCAATTTGCTAAAACGAAATATGTGGGATTCTTTCAATTCGATTTATGTTTACGTTTAAAAGCCAAACAACTATTGTCTAAGGATATACAGGATATTCTTTTTAACAAAATAAATTCACTTATTAAGTTTAAGGTGTAATAAAAATAATTATCCCAAATGGGATAATTATGGACAATCAGTGTGTCTCGTTGGGATAATTCTGGGCAGTCCAGCAAAAATAGCTGGAAGAAAGTAAAACAATTTTTTTTCAACAGTTTTACCTTTCTAATTAACAATTATACCACGAATACACCAAAGTGTATTTTCACTGTTTCCTGTAGAGAATATGAATACTATACTATTATTTCTGAATCAATTTTTGCTCATGAAAATTAAAAGAAAAATTACACATTAACAGTGTTTCTTTGCACTAATATGTGCCGATCACTTCAGCTAGCATTTAAATTCTTTAGAATCTTTTTCAGATCATCAATGAGAATAGAATTACTTTTTGTGAAATTTGATTGATTTAGTTTTAAGCTACTACTCATATCGACAAAATCGCGGCATTAATAATTTTAACAATTCATCACCTGAAAATCACCAAAAAAGCGGCAGATAATCGCAATTAAGCACACGATAAAGCCTATGATTTTTCACGATTAATTGCCGACTTTTATGCGATTTTTATTGCATGGGTAAGCAATCGTTATATTTTTACCTCAATTTTCACGACTGTCGCAACACCTCTCATACTGCTCGGTTCAAAAACAACAGTATTCATATTCTCTACAGGAAACGGCCAAAATACACTTTTTTATCCGGTTTTTACATATATGATAGAGCTCATGGTTCTGAACAATTGTGTTGTTTAGCATGGTATCAAAATTGGTTTCTAAAAGCCAGAGGAAGTTGTTTTCTGTCTATTCCGTGCAATTTGCACGGACTGTCCAGAATTACTCCAAACAAGAAAAAGTAAAAAAAACGATTGTGTTCTTTTATTTTCGCAATTTCTAATTAATTAATCAAGGATATGTCCAAAGGATCAGCAATTTTACAAGATATATAAAGCTCAAAAATCTCTGCAAGATGATATAATTTTTAATCAAAAAGGTAAAACTTTGCCGTCGAAAAAAAGTTGTTTTACTTTCTTCCAGCCATTTTTGCTGGACTGCCCAGAATTATCCCAATGAGATACACTGATTGTCCATAATTACCCCATTCGGGATAATTATGGATATTTGATAGCTCTCTGAATACTGATGAGTACTAATTAATCTCGTTGAACTTTAACAAGATTTTTACATTAGTAGATAGAAAAATGTCCGGTCTATCCACCTGAGAAGTATCGTTTTTTCCCGAGTAAAAATGTTTCAAGTACGCTTAAACTACTGTGAAAATTAAAGAGGCTGTCCAGAATTACTCCAACTACTCTACAAAAACATATCGAACATTTTTCGATATACAGTAAGGATAAAAAAAATATAGAGGAAACAGTATCGATAAATATCTAACCTAAAACATAACGAAAAACAATTATTAGTCTCATGCAATCAGGTGGAATCGAAATGTTTGTTCCAATAATCCACAGTGGTATTTTTCGTTTCGTGCCATCGGGTATCATCAGTTCACTTTAAATGTGTTCTCGGGGATAAAATGTAATCTATCAAAATTCACCAGAAAAGGGGTGAATTTGACTTTTACACCTTGACACAGAAAAGATGTGATAGAAGAGTTATAAAACAAATTCCATCTCAAAATGTTTGACTTTAGCTAAGTTATAAAAGTTTTTCTAACTGCCCTAAAACTACAGTTTGAAAACGATAATTTTTGACAAAATCGATAGAAGAAAACAACTGTGCCTCAACCGCTTGTGTTTATAAAGAGTTTCAAATAAGCATCAGTTGATAGAGCTTTTCAAGGACTAGAAAGTGTCTATTTTCTTTTTTTTGTCTCCTAAAATTGAAAAACTATGTCTAGAGTTAGAATATTGTCGAGATTGAGGATTCGCAGTGTTTCCTCTATAGTCTTTTTACTTTTACAGTATAGAAAAATGTTCGAAAGTTTTTGTATAGAATGAAATGGTGAATTTTCTACGAAAAAAAAAGAATTCAGATGGGCCTAATAGAAAGAAAAAAAGCATGAAAATATGAAGATCACTCTTTCTTCTGAGACGCTCGTTATTCTCACGAAGTAAGAAACTTACGAAAAGTTGTGTAAGTTTGAGTTTTGCTTCTGTATCAGATATTTCAACAATAAGACGCATTAGCAGTGTTAAATTACATTACTTTGTTCTATGTGCAGAACTTCTCTTGTTGAACTAATTCATGTTTCATGTTTAAAATCAAATAAAACGAATTTTCAACAAAAATAAGCAATAACAATAAACAATAACAAATGCAAATAAAAAAATCGACCATAATTATAAAAAATAAACGTGTATGAATACCAATAAAAGATAAAATAACAAAAAAAATATTTATTTTTAGTCTTTTTGTTGTTTTATACTCCAAATACGGACTGTATAACGAAGCCATATTGATAATATATCAATACCCATTTGAACAGATGCCGATATCGGATCTAGTTTTGAACCTAAAAATAAGACGTAATTAGTCAATTGAATTATATCAATATAAAATTAAATATCTATCGTATATTTTACCAGGTATTTCTTGCCAATTGACATCAACTTCTTCTAATGATATACCCATTTGTTCAGCAATATATAACAATTCGACATCGAATGCCCTTTAAAAAGAAGATGATGATTAAAATGTCTAACGTTATCTAAAATAAAAATTTCAATTTATTCTTTTTTTACCATCTTTCAACATGAAGTTGAGAAAATGTTTTTTGTGCTGCTTGACGACTAAATAATTTGAATCCACATTGTGTATCACGTATTGTTTTAACAGTAAATAGCCATACTTCCAAATGAAAAACATGCATTAAAATTGTACGAAATAGAGATCTCTAAAAAAAGAAATACAATAATACATGTTTAATAGGAAACAATAAAAAATATATACTTTTGCAACAGATTCTTTTTCTAAATGTCGGCGTGATCCACAAATGATTATATCCTTCGTCTATAAATTCAAATATTTATTAAAACTTAATAATAATTATTTTTTCTTAGTTATTTCACCCACTTGTTTACTTATAGCTCGTTTTTCTAATTTTGTATAATCATTAAAATCAGTTGCACCATCAGCATCAGCAAATAATATCCATTCACCACGACAACTTAAAACACCCTAAAAAAATGTATTGATAGTGTGTAAAAAAAGCTAACGAGAATATTTTTCTCACCATTCGAACAGCGCCACCTTTCCCACGATTTTTATCAAGTTTTAATACACGAACAATATCTGTACTATATTTCGATGAATAATTGAGTGCAACCTGTAAAGAAAAGAAAATAGGTGAAAAGATCAGGGTTTCCAATTGTTCTTAGAAGTGAGAGGGACTAAATATTTTGCATCGCAGAAAGCGGCTAGCAAAAAAACGTTTTCGAAACTTTTGGCAGAAAGTTGCTTGCGGAAAAATGTCAAAGATTTTGCTGGAAAGTTCAATAATTTTTTAGGAAGGGATCAGCCTCCCCTTTGATTGGGGAGCCTGGAAAAGACATTGATAAAAAGATTAAAAATGTTTTTATACTTCTGTAGTTCGATTGTTATCAGGACTTCCATCATCTACAATAATTAATTCGTACGTAAATGATTTATCATTAGCCTAAAGTACAAAGATAAAATATGTACATAGTCATGAGAAACCTGTCACAGATGATCAAAAGTTTTTTTAATAAATTACAGATTTTTAAAGACAATTTTTGATGCTGATTACAAATCTAATAATCGTTTCGATAATTGAGCCCTTTCTGGATAGGAGTACAGATCTTTGAAGATCCATGATGAAATTTTAACCAAATCAAAAAGCCTGAAGTTTTCAGCTTTTCTTTCTCCTAAAGATTTTATAGTTGTGTTAAAATTTGTCTGATAGTTTGGGAAACGTTTTCACGTAGGTAACTCGATGAACTCTACATACTGGACAAATCATAGTCTGTTCAGCTAAAAGTTCATCATGGGTCTGCAGCGATCCAAATTCTGTAGAAAGGACTCAATTATTGAAACGATTATTAGATTCGTGCTCAGTATCGAAAATTGTCCTTAAAAATCTGCAATTTATTAGAAAAATTTTTGATCATCTGTGACACAGTTTCCTCACCAAATACAAGAATTATGACAGATTTTATGTTTTATTTAAAAAGAAATCATCTATTTTAAAATCGTATTATTATTACAAAGAAAATTTCTTAAAGTATTTTTGTATTTTACTTACATTACGTTTTTCAAGATATTCCATTGTTGTCTTCATCATTGGCGGTACTAAAAATCAACGACTATAATTGTATTATCATCAAAGTTATCTGTAAACACTTACGTCGTTCTGCTTCTTTATATGCAGGTATAATAACTGATAAACGTTTTGTACCTTGATCATTCAACGATGGAAATTTTTTTTTAGATTTATCATTCGGATCCCAATAAAACTTTTCATTCTCTGTTCGGGGCTCTATCGAAAACGAACGTAGCAGACAAATAACCTTTAATAAAAATAAATGAATAAATTATTTTTAATTTTTATTATATATACGTAATTAAAATTTTACACTTACAGTAAGAAGAATAAAAGCAAAAGTAACAAGTCCAAGTAGGACAAGTCCCAATAAGCTAAAAGAACAACAATCGACTATCATTTCATCTAAAACAGAAACAGTGGCATTTCAATACTCTTTGCTTTTTATGTATTCAAATAAAATACAGCAAAACAAAATCTACACACACTAGTTAACTATTTCAAACGATATTAAATGTTAAATTGCTTCTTCCTATTTTTCTTACCAATCATAAATAGTAACAAAAAACAAAAAGAATAAAGTAATAACAATTTTAATCAAAAAAACTTTGATCTGGATCACCTTGAACGATAACATTTTCAATATGAAACAGATCATTATCATTATTCCAACAATTTGCAGAACATGTGTACATAAAAACTGTGCCAAACTCCAATACTAAAAAATAGAAGAAAAACAATACAAATATGGCTTAGTATAAATTCTTTTTTTTTTTTTCAAAAATATACCTATGCGTTTATTAATTTTGAGATAATTAACCAAGGCTGGCATCAATTGAAATTCAAATAAACATGATTCTTTACAATGACGACATTTTATATTTGACAATAGACCTGAATCAATTTTAGTTATAATCAATGGTTGACCACGATAATCATATCTAACGATTTGATCTTGTGCATGCATTATTTTTTGTTGAAATCGATAAAACACAATATCACCATGCTCTAATTTTGTTGAAGGTTCTTTAGTATAATCACTACTAAGTAAATATCAACAAGATTATTTTAATTTATTATTTTCTTTTGTCAATTAGTTAAGAAATTAGTTTACCTTTCGTCTGTATTTTCTTGTTCTCGATTGATTTTATTTTTCCATTTTTTCTTTTCCTTTAATCGTTCTTGTTCTAAAATTGTTTGTTCATCATCAATGTCAATATAATACAATGGAAACAAAGAAGAAGACGATTCTTGTGCAATATCATCATTATTTTTTTCTAATAAATTTTTTTTCTTCCATTCATCAAATAATGCCGATGATGTTTGTTTATTTTTTTTGGAGTTTTTTGTTTCCATTTCTAATTCATCATCATCATCATCATCACCATCACCACCATCATCAACACAATCTTCTTCTTCTAATTGTTCTTCTAAATTTATTTTGTTCATTTGAGATGTTAACAATTTATGATCATTACTAGCTGATTTCGTGGTTGGTATAACGTTTGAATTTGAAAATGAATTATCATTGTTATCTTCAGCATTATTCCAATCATCAGCATCATCACACCAATCGGCTGAAGAATTATTTAATATATCTTCAGTTGGCTGCTCATCATTGTTATCATCTGTCTTCTCCGTATAAGTTGAATCATATTTTTGACATCGAACACCAGTCCAACTAAAATGAATATAAAAGATCGATAAATATTTTATTAAAGAAAAAATCATCTAACTTTAACTACAATAGTAAACTACTGACTTATTTGATTTATTCCAACATAATGAGTTTTTACATGCAAATAAATATAATGTTCGATCGTATGGTTGACCAACAAGTGGACAATAAAGTTGACAGACAAATATTTTTTCACGTTGACATTGAGAACATATTAAATTTGATTTTAATTTTTCATGAATCAATTGATCAGGATAAGCCTAAAAGATGATCTCACTAAATTAATGTCTTTTTAATATAGAAATAAATGCATACTGGTGTTCCTCCTATTCTTGAAACGGTCCAGTCAGATGTATCATCATCACCAGAACCATTTGGCTCGTCAATAAAGCCAAGTAGAACCATCTAAGAAAGAGATAAAATAAAAATTGCATACGAAACTAAATAGACAGAAAATTAAAATTTTTTTAATATAAATCTTGTCATTGATCGCTTATAGATCTACTTTTGAACTTGTGAAATAAAATTAATTTTATATTTATTTAGATTCTGAAGAAAAAAAAATCACTTACAATCATAAACAGAATATCAAAAAAATACGATAGACATAAAGGGAAGAACTTGGATAGATAAAAAGTGTTAAAAGAATAACAAAAATATAAACGAAGAATATATACATAAAACAACGAGTATTTGCTTATAATAAAATAGAAAGCAGATACTGAAAAACACTCAAATGACACTATAGTTCAAAACTAAGAATTATATGCAAACGGCCGATATTAAAAGTATAAAGAGATCAGAGAGATAAAAACGGAAAAATCTTAAATTATTCTAAAGAATATACATGAACTTTTACATAGGATTGAATTCGTTTTTTTAATCAACCGGAGTCATCTGTTACGTTTTCTATGACGATGATTACTTATGCAGGCAATAGCATTTTTGTCGGACAACTAATGTTTGGCTCTAGGAGTAAACCTTTGTCAAAAAGCCAGAATTATCCGTAGTGCATTTTTCTCGGATTGTTACTTGAATTGTAGATGGACGTGTGACTAGTGATACGATGGAATTCGGTATCTTTTCCAGAAATGGACAGTTACCGAACACTCGAATGTTCATTCATTTCTTCTATTCTTTATGGATATTCATTTTCTTTTCTAAATTTGGAAAGTGAATATGTTCAGTTCCTTTTGTCGTCACTTTAAAGCTTCAATGGTTCAAATCTGATAGTCGAATTCAGCATCAAAAATAACCTATAGAAGATTATTTCCATCGAATTTGATGTGTACAATACAGAGAAATATCCCAAAATACCACTAGTTTCAGAGCTCAAATAGCTCAAACATCCTCCTAGGGCCACTATTTTTCTAGTCTATTTCCCAAGTTAAATTCTTGTGACTGATTTCACATGAGAGAGCGTCTCAAATACTGTATATTTTGACGCAGAAAAATAGTGACTCTAGGAAGATGTTTGAGCTATGAGTCTCTGAAAACTAGTAGTACTTTGGGATATTTTCTCTGTATTGTACTCGATATAATACAGTCGATATAATGATGATATGTTTCATATGGATTTACTCAGCTATATATTGTACTATTTAGATTTTTCATGAACATTTCGAAATAAATTCTAATATTCACTTAGAAAAAGCTAATGAATACCCATAACAGATGAATATTTGAAGAACATTCGATTATCCAAGCACATATAGTTCAAATTTTTGATCATTCTTTTCAGACGAACTGAACTTTCATAGTTAGAACGAGAACGGGAATTTTTTTTGTGACTGAAATGTGTGAGTGAACATTCGAACACATTCCATCGCATCATTACGTGTGACACGTGGCACATTCTTCGATTTCTAATATGCTATCGTTAAACGTATTGGAAAATTCACGCAATTATAGATAAGACTTTTGACTGATATTTTATTTGGTCACTTAATTCGTCAAATCGTCATACTATCAGATTCTTTTTAAAAAATAACAACAACAGCAGAGGTGTCAACCATCCCTCCTAGCGCTATGTGCAATCTTATTGGCACAAAATTAAGCGAACAAAAACAGTACTTAGAAACTCGAAAGGAGACGCTACCATATTAAGTACTTTTGATGAGTGTTGTCCGTTATATTGAAGAGGTGGCTGTCATGGAGATGAATAAAGAAAGAATTATCGATTCATATTATTGCCTGCCCGTATTCTTTAATCTTGAATATCATTTACTGTAATCATGGCAGCTGGAACCAAAGTTCAGATTAAATACGGATCATATAAGACATATTGTGGAATAGAGCATAAAAAAGATCGTATCAAGGGGCTTGAAAGTGAGTTCTTCCTGACTAGAAATTAAAAATAAGCAGAAGATGGAGAAAGACGAAGTAGAATATTTGCATGCATCACTCTGATTGCAAACATTAGATTAAATAGATTTTTGTAGCTGTCGTGTCCGCAGCTCAAACCATTCATAAAATGATCTACCACAGTTTAAAAAGCGGAATTTTGTCAGTTTTTGATGAGCCTTCCTCGGTGACAAAATATGGTAATTGAACCGTATTTTTATTTGTTTTCTAATAGTAATCGTTCAAGAATACAAAATTAAAAGTATTCCTCCAGCACTTTTCTTTTACTCAAAAGCAACCGAATAACTCTGTATAGAGATCCTTTTAGGAGCAGTGTTTAATGCACTTGACCAGCTTTTGCTAACTTATAGCTCGTATAATATAAGGTAAACTTATGTACCGAGTCTGAAATGTATATATTCTTTTCGAACTATGCACATTGTTCAGAAAGACGTGAATACTTTTAAAATATCGGTGGACTCGTTGCATACTATGAAACATTGAGAAATATTCTTTAGTCTGATATATGTGTGTTAATGAAGTTCTGTTGATTTTTTTCACATGTAGCCTATTTATCAAAGCTGGGTTATGTCGTCGAATGTACCCCAATTCCATATCGAAATATTGTTGAAATTCATGTTCATGATCAAAACGTATTTGAATGTGATATAAGAGAACTGCAGTTTGGTGGCGATGGTGAACTTGACGAATTGTGTACAAAAGCTGGCGAAATAATTGCAAATTTGTAATTTGTTGTTGAACTTCTTTATCAATTAAATAAAATATCAGAAAAGCTGAAAGTTTCTTTATAAAAAGGTACGATATTCATTCTCGGATTTAATTGAAAAAAAGAAAAATAAATATTGCAATACATTGTCGCGCTTCCACTAACACTGGTTCATGACTGAAAGCATTCAACTTCCATAAATCTCTTCATTTTTGAGTCAGGGGATGTTTTACAGAAGTATTGAACACTTATCTGTCTGTCTCAACATGTTACATCTTATGTATAAGAAATAAAATTGAATTGACAGTCAATAGATAGCAACGGATCTGAAGAATTTGAACATACACAACTTGCGAAAAAATAAATGCTAATTAACGTGAAAGACTGTCAAATTACGTCATATTGAAAAGAGTTTCGCCAGTGTAAAATAAAAAAAATTTCTAGTATATAGTAACATTGAAGATATTAACCATTTAAGACCTCTGAACATTTTCAAGCGTTTTTTTCAAGAGCTCTTCATGATAATATGGCCTCCAAGATCACGATATAACTAAATAATCGTAAAAAATAAAGAGAATTTTTTTTTTAAAAGTTAATCTTTTGTACCTCAATTTTACCTAAATTTGACAAAAAAAAAAGGTTTTTATAACTGTCGATTAAAAGTTTGGATCAAGGGTACAATGTTAAAATGCTATTTTCTTCAAATCAAACGAGTCTTTCAAAACTTGCTATAATAGTATACGGTACTAAAATAATGTGCGGGCCATATCCTTGAAATATAACAAACGCCGCTACAGCCATGGCTTGTTTTAACAGTGGACAAGTAAGTACAATGAGAATAGTTCGGAACCGTTAGTGGATTGTATCTGATGGGATCCTGCTCGTTTTAATCTATTGCTACTATACCGGTATTCGTTCAAATTTTAGCGAAAACCGAGCTTAGAATCGTAAAATACATGGATCGTTTCTGATTCCAGAAGAAGAGGATAATTGCTGTATCAATACGTCTTAACCACACTAAATCTTATTATCTGATTGAGTAACAATGAGTAACAATGAATTTTCTTAAAACATATTTGGATGAAGCATAATTTTCACGCTACTCAACAACACTAGAATGCACTAATAGAACGAATAGACAATATAGGAAACTATTGTATCTCAAAAATATAAAATCAACCTGTTAGCAAAAGTAAAATACCTAATCCGTTCTCTCGTAAATATAGGTACGCTTCGAATATAGCCACGATCTGGTTGATCCAAGTTAATTAAAAATTTAAGGCCTTTCTGAATATAAAACATTATAAACGATGATAAAGATTTAATATTCATCGTACCTATTTAACACAACAGGATGAATAATGTTCACGAATCGGATCCTTCATAAAATGTTTTTATTTGGCGCAGATCGATAGAGAATTAAACTTGATCTAGTTGTTCATATTGCTAGATCTTAGTAATGCATGTATCAGAAACTTGTTCAACAAGCTGAGTATAAAGTTCTACCCATCCCCTCACCTATAGATAGATGCACATAGGCACAGCATTCGGTACCAGTATCCAAGCTGACCCGACTTTCAAAACTATAACCTAATTGTACCCGAACAACTTTCTACTCGATACTCATCCATCAGACAGGATACTCTTCCGGTTGTCCATCTCTATCCTCAGCGATTAATTATTCTTAATGTACCAATACATTATAAGGGTCCAAAAGCGTAGAAAACTAGATAAAGTTTAATCCTTTATCGGGTGATCAGCGTCGAAATTAAAACACTTTGTAGAAGAATCGATTCGTAGACATTATTTCCCTTTTTTTTTAAGGCTTTACCAACATTTATCCAAACTCAGTCATTACACGCAATTGTAACTAAAATGAGTAACGTCGTGAAGATCTATATTTTAGGACTTGATGGGCTGGCCTTGTTGACAATTCGTAAAAGACTACACCTTATTTTTGACGAGCAGATTGTAACCATCAACATAGACCGAAGCACCATGTCAATATCATCATCAACACTCTGTAATGTAGCTAAGCATTACAATATAATATGAAAGGATAAATGTTCACAAAAACTGATGTGTATCTTCCTTGACATTGACAAAAGTCTGTCCAACGAAAATGTCGTGAAAGCCTATTATAGCCGACAAGATGATGTCAAATCTTAGAAACGGATATTATAAATCCGTTTCCATCAACGATTATCGGTAGCAGGTACGTAATGGATATAATGGATCATTTTGCACATTAACTAAATTATAACTCACTACAATTGTTACAAGTAACAATATAGCTAATGTATCCTGTTTCATTATGCTGTCATTATGTCATCAT